ATTAAGGGTCAGCTGGGTGCCTCGCACCCAGCAAGCACTGAAAGAATTGAAAACTGTCCCATTGTGGGGTTCCATTTTGTAGGTCCCCAAAGATTCCTTAAATTATCTATAAGAATTAATGAGATACAGTCTATGCAGTAGAACCTCATAAAGCAAAGGTGGCGCGTGGAGCTCTTCAGTCACCTCCTCCTTTCAACCCTAACAGAATTCCTTGTGCATTCAGAGCATCTGATTTCACACTGGTGTTAAAATTAGCAAACCAAATGAACTATTAATAATTCACTACAACTCTCACTGGAAAATGATGAACTATACCTTACTCGTCCCCCAAAGCACACACTGCATTAAACAGCGGACCACTAGAATTAATGACCTAAAACAGAAGATAAAGGAACTACACCCACGAACACAAGCTTCACACCTGCACAAAGATGGGAGCTCTCCCACATGGCCTTAGTTCGCCTTCCTATCTCAAGTGTCCCTAGGAACAGGAGTATCAAAATATCTGGGCTCCAGCTCTGCCTTGATACCCAACCTGCTGGGACAACCCGGTACCAGTATAAATAAATCTGATGATTCTTCCAGGTTCCATCAACTTCAAAAACACTAGTATTCCCCCTCCATGTTAAAAACTCAGGAGGACATGCAACCTGGCATTAACAACAAGGATCACAGAGAGGTTGTCCTTCTCAAGGGGTGAATAATGAAAGTGTGGTTCAGCAGTTATTCAGTTGGGGGAAAAATAACATCCACAAAAGAAAAAAAAAACTAAATTAAAGAGTTAAAAGTTGATAGCCTAGGAGTGGTGGCTACAAGACGAATCAATGCATTTGTCAAAAACCATATGATTGTACATCACAAAGAATAAACTTTAATGCATGCAAAGTAAAAAACAATTCAACCAGGATGCCCAGATGCCAGGAGAGTGAGCAGACTGACAAGTGTATCTAATTTCATCATAACATGCCCAAAATGACCTCACTGAACTGGTATTGAACCTGGTGGGGGAGATGAACTGGCCAGAGCAACTCTACAAAACACACACTGTGCTCTGCTTGGTAGGTGTGTTTCCCAGGTGTAGGCGAACAATTCTGAAACTATTCTGCAGGAGCACAAGGGCCAAAGCACATGCTACGTGAGCAGGTTCCACCATCAGAGAAGGAAGCTACAAATAGGCAAAGGGAGGTGGGTGGAAAGAAGCCCGTGGGATGGACTGGTCAGGAGACACCAGGGAGAACTGGTGATCAGGCGAGGAGACACAAGGCAGGTAGGTGCAGAAATGATGCCAGAGCTGGTGTATATATGGGTTAGTTCACGCAGACTTCCTTGTCACAGGCACCCCTGCAGCAGGAGCTGCCAGTGCCCAGACCTGGGCTTCCATACACTTCACCACCACATGGAACCTGGGCTTATGCTGGAGCACAAAATGTGACTTGCAGAGGCACCTTGTAGGGCCAGAAGCCAGGACATGTTCCCAGAACAAAGGGATGGTGTTGTCACATGGGCCAACCCCAATGAGCTCCCAAGGCCAGAGCCAGGAC